CACACGACAACATAATATATATATATATTATATTTATATATTGTATATATATCTTTATAATATCAATATTAATATATATTATAATTTATGTTTGTCAGTGTGCGCGCAATGCGGCGGCGGTGTGTTTACAGTTGAAACGCTTCAAGTGCCTGTGCCGTGTGCCTGTGCTACTGTATTTTTTTTTTTTTTTTTCTGTACTGTACTGTACGTTGTACTCTCACAGGTCAATTGCGTCATGGTTCTCCCAATTAATACACAATTGTCATATACATGTAGTGGCGGTCACAGCACTTGAAGCATATCAACTGTACACACGGCGCGCCATTGCGCGTACACTAACACTATATAAGAGGCGCGCGCGCCAGTGTGGGTTTATGTTGGCTGTTGGTGGGTTCGTGAATCGTGAGTTACTACTACGCACCACTGGCACCAGCACAAACCTTGAATACTTTGTAGTATAGTTCCACGTCGAATGTTGTCGACTTTGTGTCCTGAGAAATACCGTGTTTCTCACACACACGTATATAGTGAGAGATATGTAGTTACTATCATGGGCGCAGCCATGTTAAACAAATGTGCATCGCATCTAGACTTGTGTATCGGATTGTATCGGTCACTGGTGCTACGTCACGCCATCTATGGTCACGCATGAGGACACTACACCAATATCCTACACATACATACGTGTATGTGTAGATTTGTTAATAGGGTCGTGGTTAATTGTCAACGCAGCTTACGTAGTAAGATCATCTTATTTTCATCGCGTACAGTGACATGAGCTGAGAAAGCTCTTTAACGAATATCTAACAAATGTTATACAAAAACAGTTATACAACATATACATTTCATTAAAAATATTACAAGTACAAGTGGTTGGGATATGATAAAATATAAAAGTAACGACATGGTTACTGTATGCGGCTGTGGGCAATGTATATAGAATCAATGAAAATTGCCAATTGCAAGGTCAATGATACTCGCAATCAAAACTAATAAATGAATCACACGGCTAACAATAAGCGGGTTAAAGTAAATAACAATATTTATCTCAAATAACAATATATAAAAATTCATGCATGGTTTACAACCACACTATTATTATCACTAAAATATCATTTTACTGAATAGAAGCCACAACAAATTTTTCACACACCAACTATCTCACAACCAGTATAGAAAAATATACTAAAAATAGTCGTTGGGAAAGTCCTACATGTAAGAATAAAAAGTTAGCATGCTGGCATATACAACAGCAGCAGGATTAGCTGATTAGCACAGCACAACCCGAAAATTTATAATATTCTTCTTTCGCCTTTACTAAAAAATTACCTCATGTAAATGCGCTGGATTGGGTATAACATAAGCACTGCTAGGCTACATGAGAGCCCTGATAGACCTTGAGGTTTTCGACCACCGCTTGCAAGGGATCTGTGTGCTGCAATGTGACTAGGTTGAGTGTTGTGTAGTGACCGAAAAGAAGTATAACAGTAGGGAACGGAGTAGTTACTTTAACTCACCAGTGAGGAGTCACAGTTGTAAACTAAAGAGGATAGTTCTAATACATAGAGATATACAAACACGAAGTATATATTTGTATATATTTATGCTAAGTACCAAAACTGAACAAACTAATATTCCAACATATCGTAACTGAATAATGCAAACTGCCTTGGAGCCAGTCGTGGGCCTCGAGCAGCCCGATCCTATGCACATTGCAATTGCGAAGGCCGCCGGTCATTGCTCCGGAAGCTTGACGATGATGCATTGAATCATATACGAGCGCCAGAACGAACTGCTAGTCAGCAACTCCACGTTTTTATAGACAATTTCAGCAGTACTATAGTACCAGAAGTAGATAATAAGGAAGTAGGATTCCCTATTATTATTCTGATAGTACGTAATTGCTATCAGAGAACTGCATAGTTGCAACTGCTAACAACTGTGTAATAAACCTTGTCATTAAATTACACAAAATATATATATATATAATTCAATCATATCTAGCCTGCCAACATTGATTTATTTATATATCACACACACTTTAAATTCAGAGCTATATGTCGCTTCATCAAATCTAAACCAAAATCACATTATTATAATTCACCATTATGTGAAACCAAACAATCATTTTTCCATCAATTCCAGATATAAACAACTCTTAACATATATTCGTTAAAAATCAAACCTGTATAACTAGTTGCCAAATAGCTAATTGGTCAAAGACCAGTATAATTCGTGATATTTCTACTGAAAAGGTAAAGACCAGGCGACAGCCGGGATTATACTGATCCTCCAACGTTTTCTACCTGCATGCTAGACAGTTGGTTCTTTGCAATGCTTCTTCCAAGAAACGTAGCATAATTTTGTTGGCCACTGGATCCCAAAACCTATGAAGGAAAATGAACTTTAGAATCAGTTAGTTGCCTGGCGAAATCAGTGGTTACTTAGGTTTGGTGACCGCTATGGATGAAAGGAAAATACAAAAAAAATCGAACTAATCTGTCTAATCCATGCAATCCATCCTGCCATCCATCCATCGCCATCTCCATGCCATCCCATGCCCATCGCACCGCATTTCCCATCCAATATACCATCCCGATCCCATCCAGTATCCCATCCCATCCCACTTGAAGGAACCCCCCCCCCCCCCCTTCGCCATCTCATCGCATCCCAGGCCATGCCATGCCATGCCATCCAATCCCATTCAAACAGTAAAAAATAATTAAGAATCAAAAGATTAAAAGTCATAAAATAAAAAGTCAAAAAAATATAAATTTAATTAATATGGAAAAATATAATATTTTATATGTAACCTACTATAGCGCTTCCGTGTGTAAGTGTTTTCCCGTTCAGTTTGCCCTATCATTATCATCTACCCATAGTTTATTCTGGATTTTTACTAAACGATTTAAAATGTGGTAAATTTTTTTTGAAAATTAACGGTGTGAATACGCAGGAAGTACATACTAAACAGTCGCAAAAGTAAAGAAACAAAGCATTCCCAGAAGGTGGGTAATTCGAACCCAGAATCAATGGTTTAGGTTCGATGCGTTATCCATTCGGCTACTGGGCCGTTATGGTTATACACCATGGATTAATACACGCTACGTGATAGTATAATGTTAATCTTGTTACACATCTATTGATGAATAGAATTTTTATAAATTTTTTAACGTTTTTGAATCTTTGTTTACAGCCAGAACCACTCCACAGGACCGTGCTGAATCTGAAAAGATATTATAGTATTTCTCTAGGCTGCGGAGTCCTTTAGTTATGACTCAAAACACACAAATTCGGCTGAACAACTAATATATATATATTTTAATGATATTTTGTTTCATGGAATTGTACTTGTATGGAGAAGTGGAGCAGCGAAAAAAAAATTTCTCAAAAATATATAATCTAATTAGTGCCTGTATGTGTATTGTAGAATTTGTTCAACGAACGGCTTTGTGGGAAATATCAGCTGCCACAGAAGCGCAAAGCAAATGCAGAGTGAAACATGAACAAAACAAGCACATAACGCCCGAACTTCGCTCATCCTTACTCACAAAGCTAATATGTCAACAAACTCGTGCCCACTACAGTAAGGTGTGTTGTGAGGTGTTAGAACTATTTTGGGCTTGGGATACTTGTTGGATCACTAGCAGATGTACATGAATGTACATGAATACATGTAAAGACAGCTGTAGCAGGGTTGACGCTGAATGATACTGGCTATAGTTAATATCGTGGTTGTATCATGTTTCTGACGTCATAATGACGTCAGCCGCTGCTTACTACACATGTACGCAAGCAAGCAAAAACGCTCTGACAGTTCACATGTACCGTTATATGGAGAAATGAGCATGTACACAGGTGGCACAGTGTTAGCCATCGAATAAAGTTGAAAACGAAAAATCGATGAAATTTCATGCACAACGTGGAGAGTATCCTTAAAGTGAATAAACAATTACTGTATCGTTTGATACATTTATTGTACAGCGAACGAGCTTGGCACTCGCCCGCTCGCCAATGTCGAGTGAAAATAATATAGGGCGAATAAAAGCTAAAGCTGACTCGCCCATGTTGGCGAGTATAAATAATTGTCTAAAACTTTAATCAAATGTTGGTTCCTTATGTTATATATCCAAACATTGATGAAAAACAGTTCTAGGGATTGTGAAGGGCGGCTATCGCACGGCATCCTCACTTTATCTTATCAAAGGTCGCCGACAGTCAGCACAGCGTGGCTGTGTATACGTGCCTGGGGCGGCATATTGATTGATGTACGGGGAGGGGAGGAGAGTGCAGGATTGTTTAAAAGTTGCGTGGGGCATGTTCATTATAGGGGTTGGGCACCGCCGGGATCAGAGTACGACAGCAAAATTCTTTCTTGGAATTGAGGAAAAGGCTGCAATCAGGAATGACACAAAGAGCGTGCCGGCACGCAAAAATGTACGTGTGAATTTCATTACGATTTTCCATGTATATAAAGATAGTTCGATTTTTTTTGTATTTTCCTTTCATCCAAGCGGTCACCAACTGAGTAACGCCACTGATTTCGCCGGGCAACTAACTGATTCTAAAGTTTATTTTCCTTCATAGGTTTTGGGATCCAGTGGACAAAAATTATGCTAAGTTTCTGGAAGAAGGCATTGCAAGAACCAATGTCTACAGTGGCAGGTAGAAAACGTTGGAGGATCAATATAATCCTGGCTGTCCCTGGTCTTTACCTCAGAGAAATATCACGATTTATACTGGTCATTTTGACCAATCTAGCTATTTTGGGCAACTAGTTATACAGGTTTTGATTTTTAACATATATGTAAGTTGTTTATATCTGGGAATTGTGGAAAAATGATTTTGGTTTGACATTAATTTGATTAAATAATGTGATTTTGGTTTAGATGTGATGAAGCGACATATAGCTCTGAAATTAAGTGTGTGTGATAATAAAAAATCATGTTGGCAGCTAGATATGATCGAATATATATATTTATGTGTAATTTATGACAAGGTTTATTACACAGTTGTTAGCAGTTGCAACTATGCAGTTCTCTGATAGCAATACGTACTATCAGAAGTAGATAATAGGGAATCTACTTCCTTATTATCTACTTCTGGTACTATTAGTCTGCTGAAATCTTGTATGATAAAAACGTGGTTGCTGACTAGCAGTTCGTTCTAGCCTCGTATATGATTCAATGCATCATCTCAAGCTTCCGGAGCAATGACGGCGGCCTTCGCAATTGCAATGTGCATGATCGCTGCTCGAGGCCCACACTGGATGCCAGAGCAGTTTTGCATTATTCAGTACGATATGTTGGAAATATTGTTTGTTCAGTTTGGTATTAGCATAGATATATACAAATATATATTCGTGTTTGTATATATCTATGTTATTAGTAACTACCTCTTTAGTTTACAACGTGACTCCTTCGACTGGTAGTTAAATTAACTGTACTCCGTATCCTATGTTATACTTCTTCTTGGGTCACTACACAACACTCAACCTAGTTACTGCAGCACACAGGACCTTGCACAGTGGTAGAAAACCTCAAGGTCTACAGGGCTCTCATGTAGCCTCAGTGCTATGTTATACCCAATCCAGCCTTACATGAGGTTTTTTTTTAGTAAATTGGCGAAAGAAGAATATTATTAAATGTTTCGGGTTGTGCTGTGCTAATCAGCAATCCTGCTGCTGTCGTAATGCAGCATGCTAACTTTTATTCTTACATGTAGGGACTTTTCCCAAGCGACTATTTTTAGTCTATTTTTCTATACTGGTTGTGATGAAGTTGGTGTGTGAAAATTTGTTGTGCTTTCTATTATAAAATGATATTTAGTGATAATAATAGTGTGGTGTAAACATGCATGAATTTTTATATATTTATTTGAATAAATATGTTATTTACTTTAACCCGCTTATGTTAGCCGTGTGATTCATTATTAGTTTGATCGAGTATCATGACCTTTGCAATTGCATTTTCATTGATCATATACATTGCCCACAGCCCATACAGTACCATGTCGTTACTTTATATTTTATCATACCCACACCTGTACTTGTATATTTTTAATGAAATGATATGTTGTTATAACTGTTTTTTATACATTTGTTAGATATCGGTTAAAGAGCTTTCCAGCTCATGTTCACTGTACCGATGAAAATAAAGATTATCTATACTACGTAGTGAGTTGACAATTAACCAACGACCCTATACAATCTACACATATACACGTATGTATGTGTAGGCATAGGTGTAGGTGTGCCTCATGCGTGGGTGTTGCTATCCCCCGGGCGTGGAGGGAGGTCACGTGATAACGTTGACGATGACGTTCAAAACGTT